AAACCATACACGTGCATTAAAGCCCTCTGAAATCTCATGGATCAACCCAAATAACATGGAAAATTAAACTCTGCCCAAAGAAAGAGGGATTGAGTACAGAATATACGCTGGACAATGATTTAAAATATCACTTAAGTCATCCACTCATTCCTTTAATGAGCATTTACTGAGTACTGATTATTACCTAGGCCCTATGCTAGGAATGCAATGATGAACTGGATGAAGTCTTCTTCCATAAGGAGTTCATAGTCTAGGAGGGGAGAGACATGTGAACATACAATTACAATACATTGAATCAGGTGTTAATAGTTACTGAGTGTGTAACATAGGCCGGAATCTATTTGAAATACTGTGCATGCCTTACCTCATTTAATCACCTTATCAACTCTCTGAGCTGTAGGTGAGTTAAATAACCTACTCAAGGCCACACAGCTTGTTAGTGACACATCAGAGCTCAATACCAGTCAGTCTCCTCTGGAATCCTTAATCTCAATTGCCGTGAAATTAACACCAGGCAAGAATTTGCCGTAAAATTAACACCAGACAAGAATTTGGATGAAAAAGTAATTTGGCAAGTATAAAATACCATATAAGTCAATTGTTATTCTTATTGTCTTTCAAATATTTCTCCAAATTGATTCATAGAATTTCCAAGTTGAAAAATATTGTAGAGAGCATATGGTCCAGTTATCAAACATCTGCCTTTTGTGAATAAGGACACTGAAGTCCAGAGAGAGAGAGACAGCTAAGGTCACAAGACTGGTTAATGGTGAGTCTGAGAAGAGAACCCAGTGCTCTTATCTTCAAGCCTGGGTCTGTATCAAGTTACCTTTCTAGAAGATGACATGCTACCTGCACTGAGATACAGGGTTGATGCTATGGAAAAGAGATATACACAACCACCTAATAATGGGGGTCTGGCTTATAAGACAAATGTGCAGCTATTAGCCTTTGTCCATTTTATAATTAGAACTATATTTTAGATATATGACCAGAACTCTGTAGGCCTCAACTCTCTGCCTACCAGCCACACCTCTCTGGGCTAGCTCGAAAGGAATCAGGACTGAACAATGGTAGGTTTTGGAAACTGGGCCATCAACTCATTCATTCCACACTAAAAATGGCTTTTTGAGATAATTTTTGCAAATATAGTTAGAGTGCAGTGGTTTTTGAACTTTTTGATCACAGAATGCTTTCACTCTCTTTAAAACTATTGAGGACCACAAAGAGCTTCTGTTTGTATGGGTTATATCTACTAATTATGTTCTGTATGAGCAATTAAAACTGAGGCAGTTATAAATATTAATGAATGCATGCAATGCATGCAAATATGACAATATAAACCTATTAAGCTAACATAAATAACATATTTTAATAAAGGAACTATTTTTAAAATAAAAATGAGTGAGAAGATATATATTGTTTTATATTTTTATACATTTATAAATTAAAGTCAGCTTTAATATAAAATGACTGAATTTTATATCTGCTTTTGCCTTCAGTATGTTGTGATACGTTGTTTGGTTGAAGTGTATGAAGTAATGTAATAAAATATGAAAGAAAATCACTTATGACTGGGCACAATTCAGCACTTTGGGAGGTGGGCAGATCACCTGAGGTCACGAGTTCAAGACCAGCTTGGCCAACATAGTGAAACCCCATCTGTACTAAAAATACAAAAATTAGCTGGGTGTGGTGGCTCATGCCTGTAATCCCAGTTACTCAGGAGGCTGAGGCAGGAGAATGGCTTGAACCTGGGAGGCAGAGGTTGCAGTGAGCCAAGATCACGCCACTGTAGTCCAGCCTGAGAGTTAGAGTGAGACTCCATCACAAAAAAGAAAAAAAAAAATCACTTATGTGGCTTCAACTTCCACACTGCAACAACTATTTAAAAAACTACCACATGCCAGTTTTTAGTGCAGTATTGAAGGAGAAAAATTATCTCCTAAATTATTAGTTATCTAAACTATCTAATTATCTAAAAAGGCTGTAAAAGTACTTCCACCTTTTCCCACTACACATCTGTGTGAGGCTGGATGTCTTTTAGTACACGTTAAGTAAAAGTCAAGCTTATGCTGGTAGATAGAAGCTTCCTAACCAATTTTTGCTTAAAAGCATGACAAGTATTATTGACAACAATTTGTCGGTTGTGTTCTTTGAAGTGGCAGGCTCCCTCAGTTTATTTTTGATAAAATGTCTTTAAAATATCCAAATCTGAATAAACATTCTTTTCTGACAGTTGTTCATTGTTTTCTGTAAAAAAAAAAAGAAAAAAATGCATTCAAGAAGAACTGCTAGTTTAGCTTGTAACTCAAACAGACACACAAGTACTTTTCTCTGAGATGACCACTGCGGCCAGTGTGAGTGCCTTCCATTTCATCACACAGAATAGTAAGAAGATCTGTGAGAAATTGCATTAAGTTAATAATTTTCATTGCTTCAGCAAGGACATTTTTAGGTAAAGCTGGGGTATGGTTTTCTTTGTTTGTTGCTTGTTTGGTTTTACTGTGAATGTGTAATACTGAAGAATACAATGACAACTGCTATTTCAGTTTGGTGCCACTTCCTTGATTCATGTTGAGGTGCCCAGTTTTACCCACCGTTACTTTTACACCATCGTTGCGAATATCCACACAGTGAAAATGGTAATTAACACGCTCATGTTAATATGAAAATGTTTTTTTACCTCATTGACTCCCTAGAAAGATCTCAGGACCTGCCAGAAATACCAGGACCACATTTTAAAAATTGATGCTACTGTGCATCATACTTAATATTTTAAAGCAGTGATAGTTCTGATAACTGCCAGGCTTCATTACACTGCCCACAGGTTGTTTTGGTGACTTGTCTTATAATCTCATCAAACCTAGGGTCTTTCATTAACTTGAGACAATGTAGGGGCAGGGGAGAAAGAGAGAATAAGGTTGTTTGCAAAATAAACCAAGCAAAACAAACTGCTTAAAGTCTTTTTTTTGTTATATCACACAAAACTTAACACACAATGTAGCTTCTCATTTATTTTGTGTTCTCTGGAAACCATAAAATAAAGGATAGATGGGATTGTTGATAACACAATAGTACGAAAGGCCTGGGAAAATACTTGAAAGATACTTTTAAATATCAAAGATAGACAACCCCAAATTCTTATTTGAACACACACACACACACACACACGCGTGTGTGCTCAAATAAGAATTTCCTGTCTTAAATAGAGTTTCCAATTTGAGAATGTCTCCAAGGGTATATTTGATTCAAAAACAGCCTTTCCTGGTGAACATCCTGATGACAAATTCCAAGGAATTTGAGGGAAAACTATCTCAGGACTTGAGGTCGAAAAGTCATACATTGCCAAAAACCAAATAAACAGAAACCAAACAAATGAAAAACTCATTTAAATCACATTAATTGAGGTTAAAAAGACAATGACTAATATCCACCAAAATGCTTTAAGGGAATATCACTTTAAGGAAGTTTCTAGATAGATCAGCACTTTGCCTCAGAGGAATTTCCACTAGCTCCCTCCAACTGTCCATTCTGCTTTTTAGCAAACCTTCCTATAGGCCAGGTTCTGTGGCACCCTCAGGGGATAGAGGCGTCATTCTCACTGATGGGGCAGCACCACGCCAGTGACTGGGGCAGGGCGTGGGCAGGTGCAGGGTTCACAAAGGGAGAAGAAAGACGACGGCTGATTGTGTGCGTTGTAGGGTGCAGAGTGGTCAAGGAGGACATCCAAGAGCAGGTGATGTCCAAATGGAGGTGATGTTCCACTCCTCCGAACGAGGAGTAGGCTTTCCTAGGAGAAGAACACATGCTTTTGGCAGAAGGAAACACAAGTAGAAAGGCCCGGAGCCATGAAAGAGCAAGGCGTGTTTGGGAAATCGTGAGAAGTCAGAAATTTATTGTCTTCTCGTCTCTGCCATCAGTAATGTGAAAATGGGTTGTGGAACTGGCGGGGTTTCCCCAGCCTCTGGACAGCTGGATAAGCCACAGGTGATATCAGAGGTAAAATGTCCCAGCTATGAATGAAATGTGAGATTAGAGTGACCTAGAACTCCCTGTGATAGCTGGCTATGTCCCCTCTGAATCTGGTTGGCCAGCAGGTCCTCCTTCTGCACCAGAGTGAACTGGAGGAGTAGAGAGACTGTAAGGGAGGCCCCAGGCAGATCGCAAAACCCTGTTGGGGATGATGACTTGGGGTTGTAAACTGTAATTCTAAACCAGTTCGCAAAAAAAGATTTTCATCGAGGTTTCTTAACCTGAAGTTTGCATATTGTTTTCCAAAAAACTTTCTGAGTACCCTGACATTTGACAGAAAACTTCTCCTGTGCACATGTGCACTTTTGGGGGAGAAAGTCTGACCATATTTTTCAGGATATTTTAAGAAAAATCTTGATAGCCCCAAATATTTGTGATGCATTCATCTGGATGTCGATGATTCAGAAATAAATAAAACCTTGGTCTGTCGAAGCAGTTTATCTGCTTGACAAAACAAAATAAAAATCTGAAAAGCAGATGGTCTTGAGTTCACATTCTAGACATAAGTTAATTCTGTTCCTTATTAACTGTGTGACTTCAGCCAATTGCCCAACCTCTCTGTTTCCTTTTCTGTAATAATATCTACTTAGATATTTTGGGAGGACAGTGGGTGAGGCATAAAATTAAATAATATAAACAAATGACTAGCACATAAGAGGCAATCCTATATCATAGTAATTATTTTTACTCTTTTATTACTAATATACTAGGGTTGCTCAGGGGACAGAGAAACTTTCCGACTGAGTTTTTGGTGACAATATTTAGAGAAAAAACAGTGTCTGGCTGAAAGCCCTGTCTCCAAATGTTCTGGCAATGTTGCTCTTGGCTGTCCCTGGCTGGTGTCTGTCTTTACCTTGAACTGCACTAAGATTAGAATTTCTTGTAAACGGTGAGTTAATTATTCGCCTGCATCCTTTTACAACTTTGGGCTGCTTCCCCCCGTGCTCGGGGAGTTGCCTCTCTGGCTGCTGCCTAGAGAGGACTGGAATTGACTTGTCTGACCGCTCTTTTTGAGGACATTATCTGCAGTCCCTGAAGGTAAGTGTGGAGGTGCACATAGATTTTAGGCCACACCACTCGGGCATACCCACCTGTTTTTGGTGGCCTTATACAGACACTCAAGTAGACTTGGCGTGGGCTTTTTAGGCAAGGTCAAGTGGCCAGAATGAAGCACATCCAAAAATGAAAAAGAAAAGGTCACCAAGGAAAGCTTCAGCAGCAAATCAGTGAACTAGCTGCAAATGAAAGGGAATTCCAGTCCGAGTCATCATGGGATCAAGGTAGATTCTTCACTAAGTAAAGCTTGTGGTGAACTTCTGTACTTAAGAAAGTGTTTTGCAACTGGAGAATTCCTATTCATCCTCAAAGCAAATACCACCTCCTTCCGGAAGCCTTAACTGAACCCCTAGACAGAGGCAGATGTTGCATCCTCTGTCCTGCATGAACACTAGGACATAGCCCTATGTCTATCTAGCCCTCATCCCCTGGGAGCTTATTCAGATGTCTGTCTTCCATTAGGCAGTGGAAGGCAGGCATTGCCTTACCAGACACCTTAATTTCTTTTCTCTCTCTCTGTCTTTTTTTTTTTGATAGAGACTTGCTCTATTGCTCAGGCTGGAGTGCAGTGGCGCGATCTCAGCTCACTGCAACCTCCACTTCAAGGGTTCACGCAATTCTCCTGCTTCAGCCTCCTGAGTAGCTGAGATTACAGGCACCTGCCACCATGCTCGGCTAATTTTTTGTATTTGTAGCAGAGTTGGGGTTTTGCCATGTTGGCCAGACTGGTCTCGAACTCCTGACCTCAGGTGATTCACCCCCCCCCCTTGGCCTCCCAAGGTGCTGGGGTTGAGCAGGAGAGGAAGGGAGGAAGGGAGGAATGGAGAAAGGGAGGGAGGGAGGGAGGGAGGGAGGAAAGAAGGGAAGAAGGAAGGAAGGAAGGAAGGAAGGAAGGAAGGAAGGAAGGAAGGAAGGAAGGAAGGAAGGAAGGAAGGAAGGAAGTCCTGTTTCTGAAGTGAGAAAGACATGAGTTCTGTTTCCATCTCCACACCTCACTTTATGCAAAGCCTTGAACAAACTGAACTTCTCTGAGGTTTAGCTTCCTCCTCTCTAAAAGAGGAGCATGCCAGTTGTCTTGCAGAGTTGATTTAGGGATCAAACAAAATCAATAGGTGAAAATAAAAAGAAACAGGGTGGAAGTAGTTATGAATCAGCTCCTAATTAAGAAATGAACAACGTGTTTCTCTCTCCCCTCCCCAAATTCAGTTGTTTCCCAGGCATTCACCCCATGTGTGGACTGCAGGGATAATGTGTCTCCAGACAGAAGTCGCTCTCGTGTGACGGCTGTGGATTCCCGCAGATTTTAGAACTCCAGTCTCCCTCCTCTCCTGGCCATCTTGCAGCGAGCCACCCTGTAGCCTTTCTAGAATCCACATGTCATGCTTATGCTGAATAACACCCATGAGTTCTCCAGTGTCATCAAGATGAAATCCAAGCTCCCAGGCATGGCCCTCTGCCCTCCAGACCTGGCCAGAGTCTCCTCCTTTCTCTCCCCACATCAATCCAGGGCTCCCTGGAATCACCATGCTGCTTTTGTCTTTCTGCCTCGGACTGGGCTGCAGCTTTAGCCAGGACAGTTTCTCTGCCTTTTTCTTATTCATTTACCAGGAAAACTTCTAGTTTCCTTGAAGACTCACTTCAAGGCTCTCTGTCTCCTGGACACTTGGTTTCCTCCCAGACAGGATTCACTGCTCTTCGTCTGAGATCCTATAACACCTTACACATATCACCATCTTGGCTCCAACCTCCTGGCTTTGTAATTATTTCCTGATGTGTCTCTCCCAGTATCCCGACATCCTCAAGGAGAAGGCTGAGGCTCATTCTTGGTTGAGTTCCCAGTTACATGTTAACGTGTGAATGAGTGAATGAATGCACCTTGAATGCCTCCATCCTTTCCAAAGACATTGGAGGTGTCTCTCCCCTGAGAGAATTCTTGACTCACGCGTGAATCAGAGCCTGACAAAACATTTATTTCACCAGCCTGGCATCCTACCTACCAAATGGCATGGGCTTGCTCTTGCAGCCCCAAGTAGAAGCTCTTTTGCCCATACTTCCTTTCTTGTTGTTTTAGCTTCCTCTCCGTTCACTGCTAGACTGTGAGCTTTTTGAGGGCGGGACCACATCCTACTCATTTACACCCTTGCATCCCAGCGTCCAGCCTGGTGACAGCGCAGAACATGGCTCTCTTTCAGACCAAGCTTAAATTGTTGCAGAAGGACAAGGGAGCAGACTAAAAGGAGACAGAGATGAAATGGTACACTTGCCTCTTCCATCATCAGATGTTGTGAACTGACTCCGTAAATATTCAGGCAACTCCAGCATCTCTTGGCCAGCTGCTCTCTGCCTAGTGCAGGTGACCCAGTCCAACTCCTCTCAATTTGCCTGCCTTTCCGCTCTCTCTTTCATCTTCTTCTTCCTTTTCTAAAGGCAGGCACTGCAATAAATTACTTTCATGGCTCCATTCCCTCTTTTCCCATTGAGGAACTGTAACATATTTCCTTAAGGAAATACTTTTGAAATTATAATTGAAACACAATAATGCATAATGGAAACTGGAGGAGGAGAGTAATAGATTTAGCTCTCGTTTCTGGTGGCAGACATGTTAATTACATTTTCTATTTCCTCTCATTACCAGGGAGCATGTCTCCAACAGGCCAGCCTGCTGCTCTCTCCTCTCCAGCCAACCCCACCCTGCTTCACACCCTCAGTGGGCCTGGAGGCAACTGGAATGCACAACTGACCATGTCACTGTTTTGTTCTGGGCTCCTTGGAAGAGTTACACACCCCAGCAACTCAGGTCCAGTTTCCTTAGTGGGAATCAGAGAGCCCCAAACTCTGCTCTCATACCTTAAGGGCCAACCAGACTGAGATCCCTGAACTCACACAACTTCTTCTTGCTTCTGGGAGTCTCCATATGCCACTGGGGACTCCCTTTCCCCTGGAGTGCATCAGGAGGACCACTACTGCCTACCTGCTTGTGCATCTGCTAGTGACACCTGCTCCCCTATCTGTCGTGTCTCACTGCCCTTTCTAGTAACATTGCCTGGGCCTGAGAAGACAGAATGTGTGGCTCCTGACTCCTCCGCGTTCCTGTTGTCCCCATCACACTCAGGACACCATAGTATGATTGTCTTTTAGTCTCCATCTCTTTATCCCCTGCCTCAACCCCTCCCAGTGACACACAAAAAAAGTAATGGGAAACTGCAAGCACTGGGAGAGCAGGGCATTTATCAGGAAATTTATCAATTTCTGAACTATGTAGTACAGTGCCTGGTTCAGAACAGATTCTCAATAAAATGTTTGAATAATGTATGTCTAGCCAGACCTCTTGGATCGAGACTCCCTGACTAGTGGGTGGGGAGTGGAGTCCTCAGGGTCCTTTTCTGCTGACATAAATCTTCTCTGTGTGGTAAATCCTAGAGCAAGTGTACTTTCTGCAGCTTAGCTGCACGGTCATGTCAGTGCCTGAGCCAAAAGAAACGATGGAAAAATGGGTGCCCCATACATACTTATCAAAATATTCTACCATATTTTGATCCATGTAGAAAAAGCTAAAAAAGATTTGAAATTTAATGAAAATGACTGCACAAAAGCCCTGCATTGTCCAGTCTGTTCTTGCACCATGCTTAACTCTCCTCATAAGCTCACCCAGGAGGGTCTGTGAGGACCATGAGGCCTTGGAACCATGGACTGATGGGAAATGATTGTTCCTACTGCACAATGAGGCAAGGCTACAAAATATGACAACAGCCTGCTTTTAAAAAGCACATTTAATATTTATATTTATCTTGGAGTTTTGAATTAATTTTGACTTTTCATTTGCTTGTTTTTGAGATGGCATCTCGCTCTGTCGCCCAGGCTGGAGTGCAATGGCACAATCTTGGCTCACTGCAACCTCCACCTCCTGGGTTCAAGCAATTCTCCTGCCTCAGTCTCCAGAGTAGCTGGGATTACAGGCATGCACCACCATGCCCGGCTAATTTTTTGTATTTTGTATTTTATTTTAGTTTATTATTTTTAGTAGAGATAGGGTCTTGTCATGTTGGCCAGGTTGGTCTCAAACTCCTGACCTTAAGTGATCCAAAGTGCTGGGATTACAAGTGTGAGCCACTGCGCCTGGCCAAAACTTTGATTTTTTTTAAACATGCCACATTCAAATATTTATCTCGATTTCTGAGTTTTGGGCATACTTAAAATTCACACGCAAGACAAATATTTAACTTGCCTCACTCTAATGCCCATCCTGCCCTTATGGGACTTCAAAGGGAACTCCTCCCACTTCTCTCCTCCTCCTCTGAGCTCCCTTTCCTCAAAGAGCATCCAGTCCAGTGGGAAGGTGAACACATCAACACTCAACTCCATTATATCACGGGGCAGGATGAATGAGTGCAACAAGAACAGACATAACTGAAGTGCAGGTGTAAGCTGAGAAGGACAGAACTAAACACCACTGTACATTTGGGAAGACTGGAGGCAGAATGAGGCATTGGTAAGGACCCTGAAAGATAAGCAGATTTCTGATAAATAAAGAAGTGTAAAATGCAATCGGAGCAGAGGCCGTCGATGAACAAAAGCTTAGAGGCATTGTGTTAAGTGAAATAAGCCAGACACAAAGAGATAAATATCGCATGCTCTCATTGAAATGTGGAATCGAAAACACTGAAACTCCCAGGAGCAGAGCAGGATGGTGATTGCCTGGGGCTGATGAGGCAATCACCATTCCTGAGAGACGGTCAAAGAGTACCAAGTTTCTGTTATGCAAGGTAAGTAAGTTCTGGAGGTCTACTATATGGCAGTGCCTATAGTTAACGATACTGTTTGCTTACTTACTCGATGTTAAGAAGGTACATCTTTTATTAAGTGTTCTTAGCTCAGAAAACAAATCAAAGAAAATCCAATAATAATAATGATACGGGGGTGGGAGGAAACTTTGGGAGGTGATGGATAGGTTCATGACCTTGATGATGATGATGGTTTTACCCCAAATGCATTGAGATGGATATGTTAAATATGTATAGCTTTTTATAAGGCAATCGTACCTTAATAAGAGATTTTTAAAAGAAAAATGTTTAGTGAGAGAAAAATATTCATGCGAGTGCAGTGTCTGGAAAGACCCTTTCACGGATGTGGCGAGTGTGCAGGACAAGGGTGCTCCGCTTGGTTGACAGGTGCCAGGGCTGGCCTGGCCGGGATAGATCAGGCAAAGTCCGGGTTTCTTGGAGAGACTCTACAGACTAGAGCTGGTTCTGTTGGATGTGGGTCCTTGTCAGGAAAGGAGCAGGCTCCTCCCTAAGCTCTGCACAGCTGCTCCTCTGCAGACCCCAAGTGGTGGTGCTCCCCCCCATGCTGGCACCTCTGTCTCCTGGGGGCCCCTTCTGTGGTCAGGAGCTATCTACCAGACCCCAGGAAGCAAACTCAGGACGAGGAGAAAGTTCTCTTCTCAGATGCTACTACGAGGAATGGAGCTGTCTAAAGAATGGGTCTTTGGATGGCCTTCTGGGGAAACCAGAATGTGCTGAGATGCCAGTTAGAAGAAGGCAAGAACTCCCAGCCCTAAGACACCTTGTACCGGGCCGCCTTGCAAGGCTGGAACCCTCCCTTGTAGTCCAGGGAGAACAGGCTCTTCGAGGCCTCCGCTTCCTCCCTTGCCCATTGCTATGCTGTAATCAGGAGATGAGTGTGCTCCCCTTTCAAGCTTCTGATGAGTAACAGGACCAAGGTAACGTGAGAAGTCAGGGTGGGGACAAGAGGTGCTTTGGCTTTCCTCGCCAATGCCTGGGACCTTTCCTCTCTGAGGGGTTTGGCCGACAGGCTCTTCACTCCGTGCTTGGCCTCCTTCCCTGTCACCTCAGGTGGCTTTCAGAAAACACATTCCACATCCCTCTTATCTCTCGTGTGAGTCAGGCTGCCTCCTCCTCTGCACTCCCCAATAGTTCTAGCATTGGCTCAGAGACTCTGCTCCCTTCTCCCTGCAGGGACAGCGCACCCATACACCGAGAGGGAGAGGGACTAAGTGTTTATGAGTATCTTTCTGTGTTGGGCACAGAGCTACGGTCTCTCTCACATGCGTCTTCTTAAATCACATCAATACTGAACAGTGGAGGGTTTTATTTATGTATTTATTATTTATTTATTTATTTTTACAAATAAAGAGACAGAGACTTGTTGAGGTCACATAATTTGTGCAAGGTGATCCAGTAAGACCCAGATTGTCTGGCTGCTGAACCAGCACCTTTTCTTCCATAACACAGGACTTTATTCTTGAGGTCACAAGGCCTTTCGTGGAGAGAAACTGAGGCGTGTAAGAGGAAGAGCAAACACATCTGAAGAAAATGTCAATTGCTCTGAGACAAGGTTCTTTCAATTCAAGCCATTATTTCATTTAGCTCATACATACAGAGAGTCTCCTAGCACTGGCCAGGCTGCCGCCCTCATCCACCAAACCTCCCCATTCGACTGACTCAGCCTTCAAGGAGTACTTGAAAGTGAATTCTTCTGTGGTGTCTTCCCTGACACTGCCCCGAATTGAGGCAAAGTCATGGCTTCCTCCTCTCGGCTCCCAAAATGAGTTGCATACGCTTTGTGCTATGGTTTTTAATGTTAATTTAATTATGTTCTGTCTTCTAAAAATGAGAGACAGAAGGTGGGAGAGAGAGAGAGTGTGTGTGTAAATGTTATGTGTCAACATGATCAGGTAACACAGTACCCAGATATTATTTGGTTAAATACCATGCTGGGTATGTCTGTGAGGGTGTTTCTGGGTGAGATTAATTCATAGACTGAGTAAAGCACAATGCCCTTCTTCATGTGAGTGGATCTCATACAATCAACTGAAGGCCTGGACAGAACATGAAGGTGGACTAAGAAAGATCACCTCCCTCTGCCTGACTCTGAGTTGCCACATTGGTCTTCTTCTGCCTTTGAACTCAGACTCAGACTGGAACTTACACCGTTGGCTCTCCTGGTTCTCAGGCATTTGGACTCAGACTAAAATTATACCATTGGCTTTCCTGGGTCCAGAGAGATCTATCTATTAGTATATAAGTATACAGGATACTATTACTAATAGGATATATATTTTAAATATATATATACACATATATATAATATGTGTATCTATTAGTATATAGAATACTGTTACTAATGGATAAAAATTATAAATAAAAGATACGTTTATATATTTATGGATACATATATTATAATGGATCCATTACAATATTTATAATATATATCCAATAGTAATAGTATTCTAGATACTAATGGATATACATATATAATATATATCCATTATCTAACGTATACAACAATACAACTCTGCATTTAGGAAGGTTCCATCTATCTATCTATCTATCTACATAGATAGATACACTACATATACACTATATATACATATATAGTATTCTATATACTAATGGATATCCATATATAATATATAATGGATATCTATTCTTTCTATATCTATACATATTATATAATGGATATATATTCATTACTATATAGAATACCATAGATTATACTATATATTATATACTATATACTACATATGATATATATAAAAAATGGAAATACATATCTGTAATATATATATAATGGAAATATATATCCGTAAGACATATATAATGAATATATATTCCATACTATTCCAGATACTATTACTAATAGGATATATATTATATATATATCCATTAGTATATAGAATATGATTACTAATAGTATATAAATATAGAAAACTATTAGTATATAGAATAACATTACTATTAGGATATATAATATATATGTAATAGTAGTTCTATTTCTCTGGACAACAGAGAGAGAGAGAAAGAAAGAGAGAGATAATGGGATAAATGAAGAGGGAGAAGCGGGAGACACTCCCCCACTGTTTCACTCAGTGAGCGCGTGTCCTAGGTAGGAAGTGACAATCTGCAGTTCTTTCTGTGGGTCTGAGTGGCTGCTGCCTCGAGAGGGCAAGCCCCTCACCTCACCACGAATCCCTCCAGGTCCATTGCTTTCTCACAACCTGGATCTTGGAATCAATGTAACTGCTTCACTGGGAGTTCAACCAAAGAAGGGATAACCCAGGGTTATTTTGACTATATGTGACTTTTATTTCATCTGCATCATTTAAGAATATTGTCTTTGTGTGTAATGTGGTTCCACTATGTGTATTTGTACATAGGTGTGCATGTGTGTGTATAACAGGAAGTAACGGGTACATATGTGACTCACTGGAATTTTTTGCATTGACACCAAAAGCAACGTCGTTTCCTCAGTTTCCTGAGTTTACTTACAACCAGATTACATAAGAGATGATT